AAGGATTTTACAAGGAGCAAACTGTTGTTCCTGATTTCTTGTGTGAAATGTTAGATGTAAAACTCCATAATCTTGAAAACAGCAGATTTGAACCTGACAGACAGAAGCTTGAGAATTATCCATACGCGGTGAGTTGCTATGTTCTCTGTTCTCCAACCATTCTTATAAATATTTGTGTACAGGTCTGTTCATTGTGGTGGTTTGTGAATTGTGGAGGGTTTTCACTAAGCTGAATAGTGGAAAATCCAGGCCTGCAACTGATCATGGCTATTCTGCCCGAGAGAGACAAACAAATCTATCCAGAGATAAAACGTGTCGGGGACAACGTCATTGGAATTCCAACGCAGTGTGTTCAGTCAAAACACGTACACCGTACCAACCCCCAGGTTTGCGCCAACATCGCGTTGAAGATTAACTCCAAACTTGGTGGAATTAATCATGTTATAGATCCAGGTAAAAAGTCGCCTGTTTTTCGAGAACCTGTTATTATCTTTGGCACCGACCTCACCCACCCCTCCCTGAATGAAAATGGAATTCCTTCCATTGCTGCTGTTGCAGCAAGTATGGACGCTAATGCCACTAAGTACTGTGCACGAGTGCGAGCACAGAACCACAGGAATGGTAAAGATGCGCAAGAAATAATTAATGACTTAGCAGAAATTGTGAAAGAGCTTTTAATTGAGTTTTACAGAGCCAATCGGAAGCTTAAGCCTAGCAAGATCATCTTCTACCGGGACGGAGTCAGCGAGGGTCAGTTTGACCAAGTTCTTGCTCATGAGGTGCGGGCTGTACAACAGGCCTGTATTATGCTTGAAAAAGATTATCGCCCGAGAATCACTTTTGTTGTGGTTCAGAAGCGCCATCATACGAGATTGTTTTGTGAAAACCAACGAGATGAAGTTGGCAAAGCAAGGAATGTTCCTCCTGGTACGACAGTGGACAGCAGTATCACACATCCGTACGAATTCGACTTTTATTTGTGCAGTCATTATGGAATCCAGGTACATCAGCTTTAACATGACATGTCGAGTTTTTACTCTGAGAGTGGTGATTGGGAGCTTGATTATTCTTTATCAAACAAACCCTTACCTTTCCTTGGTTACAATGTAGCTGTGCTATCTACAATTACCCACCAACTTCTCAAATAGCTACGGCATTTTTTGTCTCTTTGTGTTTAGTCTTCTATTCATCTTTGAACGTGTGAAAGAGCACCATCCTCTCCACACATTTCATAAATATAAGTACAACTCTGACATGAATCACAAGAGGTTTGCTGAAATCGTGAACTAGTATAGGATGATTTTTATACGGGTTGTCAAATTCAAAAAGTCTCGAAGGCATTCAGGTTTCCGAATAATCCCGTTCCCAAGTCTCTAACGGAAAAAATCTTTATCCATATGGATGGCATTATTATTCCTCCTGTGACCTTATCCGAAAAAAGAGGAAAAATTGTAGACATATATTTCTCTTCCACGAACTAGAATTTTTAAAACATGGCTTTAGGACAGCTGTGTAAACTTTCTGGAACAACCACCTACCCAGTAACCTAAGTCAGACAAAATCATAATTTAGTTGATTCAAGCTATTACTTGGTTTTTATTTTGAAGCTAGTGAAACACCAATTTTGTGATCAGGTTGAGCTCGTATGGTTGTTTTGTTTGAGGACGTTTTAAGGCATGCGTGAGACGTAGTTCCCTTTGTTAAAACAGTCATTTATTTCTTCTCCTTTTCTCGAGGAAGTTTACTTTGATTTTACCCCGGCATATAGGGAACAAGCCGACCTACGCACTATCACGTGTTATATGACGAATATCTCATTCACAGCAGACGGCCTTGAGCAGCTCACATACCAGCTATGTCACGTGTACGCACGGTGCACACGCAGTGTTTCTATGCCAGCCCCCGCCTATTATGTCTATTTGGTGGCTTTCAGAGCCAGACACCACGTGACCGGAAATGGAAGGTTAGTGTTCACAGACTTGATGACCCTCGTATTTTTATTGAAATTTGTGTTCAAGTTATTACTTTGTCTCTCTGTCTTACTTTGGACTGTCAGTTGGTAAAAGAACGTTTGTTACTTTTTAGCACCGCTAGTCCTTACTAAACATGATTCCTCTTCCGAGCCAGTTTACTTGTAAAGTTTTATTAAAAGTAGAATCTTCTTGTTTTAGCATCGACCTGGAGAAGTCTGCAAAAGCCATCGAAGTCAACGCTAAGATGAAAGGAGCCATGTACTTTACTTAGCTATTCAGCGGGAATATGATGTGCACATGCGCAATTTAACGTATTGGCAGTGACGAAAACAACGAAAGATGGAAACTGTTTGGTTGTGTTATAATTGTTGTAAATTAATACTGACTCCCAGGAATGATCAAAGTTTCACTTCTCCTTACGATTCATATATGTTGTCTTACAAACAGTTTAGGAGATTAGACATGCTTATCAGCCTGAGTGTTTTCTGATATAACACCATATTAACCAGTCTCAATCAGAGGGAATTGTATAATTGTATGTCAGTCAGAATAGAGAATTACTGCTTGGATCTGGGAATTAAATGGTCCAACCAAAATTAGCAAAAAAGGCAATTATTGCCAGGAAGACGTTATTTAAATAACTGCACGTGTTCTCCTTATTTTGTTAAAAATAAAAAAAGGGTTGGGCTGCTTAGAGGTATCACGCTTGATTTGAGCAAAATTTTATTGAAAAAATGAAGTAAACTAGATTCAGTTCAATTGTTATTATTATCAAAACAGTTTGTATAAGAAAAATGTAAATTGAAGAGACATTGCCTCCTCACAAATGTTACACGTTGTGATAGAAAAGACTAAATGTATTAAAATAGTTGTTTGACATAGTTTGATGCTACTCTGGTTTTAAGATTTAACGAATGTAACGGAGAAGTTACAATTTATAGACCCAACGTTTCGACACACCTGCCTGGTGGCTCATCAGAGGTGATCTAACGTACAACAAGAGGTCCTTTTATACGCTTCATCAGGTGTAAATAGGGTGATAAGCCGCCATAACGATTTAAAGGAACGTGGGCGCTTCTAAATAAAGGCGCTGGTGGTAACGCCGATTAGTGGTGATAATTTTAGACTTATCCCACCCAATTGTTTTATAGGCATGTGTGCTCTCTAATTAGCTTTTTGATGCTCTTTCAAACGTGTTTTTGGTCTGTCCGAACTCGTTATACATTGCAGGGAATAGAATAAATACCGTCGGTTCGTTGTTCTTTCGTGACAGAATCCTTAGGTTTGGCAAAAACATGCACCAAAGTTTGAAAAGGTTTTTGAGCAACTTTAACGTTGTGGCCATTCAAAATTCTCTTGATGGGTTCCGTAACACCCTTAATGTAGGGAATAACAGCAAAACTAGTCGCTGGTTCCCTCTCATCAGGAGTGCTACTAGTTGTAACTGGTTTTTCGGCAGTTACGGAGAAAAGTTTCCCCTTTCTGCCCGCAGTTTGTGGCTTTCTTGATTTGTGTACCGTTCGTAGGTTAAGTTCTTTTGTTTTGCAGTTCTAGCTAAAGTTAACTTAGTAAAGATTTGATGAGTTGCCAGTGGTATTGATATTTAAACATCTATCTTTTTCGTGAAGAGCTCAATGAGTAAAGGTCTATGAAACTCCAAAGGCGTATTTCTATAGTAACAGCATTCGCCGCGTTCAATGTGTTATGATGTGAGCTGGAGACATGGGTCGAGTACGAAAATACAAAGCCTGTTGGAAAACTTCCGAGAGAGATGATTTTCTGAGAAATTTACGGATGAGAACAGAATATACTGTTGTTGCGTCATAGTGCCTGGTTAAGACAATTCGAGAAACATACGTCCTAAGCAATTGTCTTTCAGCAAACAGAGAAACGAGAAACGGGAGACACGGTTAACAAGATCCTTAAAATCAATGCCTTTTCCAATTTTCCTCATCCTGTTTGTATATTTACCTTACTTATCCTGTTTAGTCAAATTTCACCGACCCCATCCTTCAATCCAGTCCCTGATAAACCTTCTACTCTTAAGCTGAGCCATCTGAAGGACTTTGACCCTTATCAGGCCGCAACACGATTCCGACACGTTTTCCTTCTCTTGTCACATATTTGCACTATTTCTGCCCTACCTCGCTAGCTCTGGTGCGTTTTCACAACCCGGCTAATTCTTAGCAAAAATAATTTGTTTGACACATCAATGCAAACGGAGAAGTTCAGCTACATTTCGACCTTACACAACTCCACAGCACGCTTGGCTTGGTTTGGAACCGCGGTAGGCTGTCACGGGAAGTTGCGGCACTGTATGGTGATTTGAAACGGCCTGCGTGCTTAGAATTCCTTTGGTCACTGAGTTTGGCAACGATCATATTTAGAAAGCTATGATCATCGTTTCAGCATCGATTTTCTCGGAAAATATTAGAGGGATGAAGCTCAAAATCAGTGGATCTGAAACAAAAAAAAAAATCCAGCGCTGCTGAAGTTCGAAAAAAATAAACTATAATTTTGAAGAGAGACGCACTTACTAACCGCTTCATCCTGCTTAAACTTATGAGACAACCAGCTACTTTGATGCAAACAAGCTGGGTAAAGACAAAAGAGCCTCCATAAATATTAGGTTTCCCTGGAAGGGTTCGTAGTCATGGTAACGGTGACATTTTCACAATTCAAGCTTGGGTCAATGGAGGCGGATATGTCTGTGGACATCTTTGGAGTCGGTTTCTATTGAAGGATTCGTAGTCATATGGTGACTACGAAAATCCATAAATTGCAAAGCAGGAACATATCTCACATAGGCTTTGCATTACTAAGGGTGATTAATTAGTATAAAGGCCCACTATCATCATCATACACCGTTCATCCAAGTTACCCACAATGCGTGATCCCAGGACAAGCAGACGCGACTTGAAAGGATAATAATTTGAAATTTTGAAACTGATAGGGTGGTGACAACCGTTCAACTTTGCGTGACCAATTGAGACAACTCCTTCCGCTATCGTAAGTGAGTCAAAAGCGCCCATGAAATAAACCACTACAGCCTTTTCAAGAATTGAAACTGTGCTACATCGCCATGTCTTATTACAAATACAGGAGTCTGCTCTCTAAGATAGGCCGACAACTCAGTCAGCATGATCATCAACAGTTACTCGAGACGTGTGGATTAGACGACGAGGCTGATAACATACCAGACGCCCGTTCATTATTGAAAAGACTAGAAGGAAAAAGTCACTTGGGAATTGACCGACTTGGAGTTTTGAAGGAAGTCTTGAATACTTTAGAAGAGTTCTCTCTGTTGGAAAAACTTATGGAGTTCGAGAAAGAAAGGAAAGGATGCAAAAACTTCCTTGCAAAGATAAGTGATGCACTCGATAGCGACGAACGCAATCATCTGGAACAACTCAAGGATATTTGCCGTAGAAGACAGACATCGTTGGAGCTTGATGAGAGTATTTCCAATATTCGAACATTGTTCGAAGAACTGGAGAAACATGAAAGTTTGGACGTTTGCGCACTTGACTTTCTAAAAGAGATTTTGACAGAAATAAAGAGGGAGGACTTGCTGAAAGAGATCGAGGAGTATGAGCAGCAACGAAATAAGAACCATACAGCAGAAATAAGAAAAGGTAAATAAAAATTTTTGAGTTTGCGTATGAAAACGCTCAAGGCGGTTGAGTTTAATAGGAGCATACGAGAGATCACCGAAAGCGAATATTACACAGCAGAATATTACGTACGTTTTCGCACCCGCATATCACTGAACTAATGTAGGATCGAATTTTTCCTCGATCCTCGATGGAGATCGTGTTTGAGTGGTGTCTCTCGTGATAATTTTGTTCTTATGTTCTTTTCATTTTAAGCGAAATTTTACTCTTTGGGCAAAGTTGTAACCGATAAGGTGGCGCAAGGTAAGTAGAACTTTTTCCTGTTATCATATGAAGTAGTTGTTCGCTTCCATTAAAATTTACAAGGTATCTTGAAGTGATATCTTAAGTTTGTCAGAGACGACCAATTCAGGTGATCTTTGAGTGGAAAAAGCCTTCTGAAGCTTTTACTGACATAATAACTGAGTCACTTCCAGTGGATGTTGTATGTATTTCGATATCGTTGCTGTGTAGTAGTACGTCTTTGCAGGTCATTTCCAATGATGAGGTGGTGCCACGGCAGGCAGTACGCATAAGCATACTTCATAAGACTTTACCATTATCAATAATGCTTACATAGGTGACTGCACGCCGGAAAATCTGTTCTAAAGATGCTATTAGACCGTCTTTATTCCTAGAGTTCTTAGGCCTGTAGAGTTCCCAACTAGGCATAGCCGGAATGTTCCTGGGTAGCCATGAAGTCGTTCGTTCTATGCCTACTCGCTTTCTTTTTCAAAAGGTTCGTGTAAAAGATGCGACACTCGGGTTTCGTTATTTGCCTTTAACTATCGTTTCTGGTTTTATCTGCTAAGAGAATATCACTAATCTACATATTTAAGAAAAAGCTTGCTCTGATGGGGCTTTAGTAGCGCTCAGGAAATACGGTTAGACGAATAACTTGTATAGGAGAGTTGATTGCATGTAAAGAGAACCTTTGTTGTTAAAACACATCCCCATTCACCATTTTAATGTGTACTTGAATGAACCAATCAGATCTCAAATACATTTTTAATTAGTTCTTTAGGATATGAGTTACTGTGTCAACCAATCAGATTTGGTTTGCAATGTGAAACGTGCTCTTCAGCAACTAAGTTCCTCAACAAACCAATGACATGGAAGAATATAGGTCAGGTCATTTCTAAATTAAGGTTTGCCTGTTTTATTTCTGTCAACAACAAAATTGGATTATTCATTAGCGCTAGAGGCGTAGAAGCTTTTTCATCGCCCAGAATTCAGCGACATATCCGGGACTTTCATTGAGACGCTGGCGCTAAATTTAAAAGCTAATTAGAAAATGATTGTCAAACAATAAAGGAAAAGGGCTGAAAATGTCGAGGAAGGCTTACGTTCTCTTCGTTTACGGATAAACTACTTTTCAAATGCTACTTTTACCATATGGCTTTTAAAGAGGAAAGTTCAATTGAATAGTGTATCATTCTCACTTTGTTCTTGCGCTTTCAGAAGAGGTCGCAAATTTGCCTTGAAAATTGACTATGTTAGCATCCTGCTTGTATGAGAAGTCGATCTCAGCGCACTTTCAGGCGTAATTTATCTTCACTCAATTGCTAGATTTCTCTTTTACCATATGGTTATTTTTATTTGACATTCTAGAAAGCGTCATAGAAATTTTCAAGGGATTCCAAACTCTGGAAGTAGTCGCAAAACGCGAATTTCGAAAACGTTTGCTAAGCATCGTAGTGTTCTATTCAAATTTGTCCTTTGGAGACCCCCACGAGAATACAAGTGACCTATTTTAAACTTCCCGCGAGAATATCAAGGTATGTTAAGCTCCGCCTCCGCAAACAATCGCGCACACGCCGCCTAATTAGTATTGAAATTGAGGTGGTAACTAGACAATGCTTAAAAAACTGTAAAAGCTTTTAAGATATGATCGCTGAGATCGCTGCAGAAATATTCAGCAATCGTTACTATCATATGGAAACCACATTCCTATTATTGTCGCAAGATAGACTCTAGTTCTATCTCGACGATCGTCGCACTCACAAGCCGGTTGTCGGAAGCATCGCTCATATTTTTCTCTACCGATTGAAGCGATTTTAACGAAGTAGATTCTTCATGATACTTTTTTTCTAAATTTTTCTTTTTTCTATTTTCTATTTTCATGATACTAATTTTTATAATTCCGATAACATTTTGACCAACGGGAGTCTGTCAGTCCATATAAGAATTCGCTGCAAACGAATTTGCTAAACGCTTTGTTAAGAGCGTGGCTATTGTTAATTATTGCTATTGTTCACTTTATGTCACCTTGGGATTTACTTTACGCATCCAACCGTTTGATTGACAGCAGCTGAAATCTGCAAAGAGACTCATGTATTCCCAAAGCTTTACCTGCTGACCAATCACAACCGACTAGTTCAGGATATGCAAATTATTATGCTGCCCGCTGCTTAAATGGGCACTGCAAGTACATGTCGCGAAAGACAATAGCATTCTGGGCGATGTGTAAAGCTTTGTCATCGTTGTAATTTTGCGGCAAAAAAATCAGTTACATTCAGTATATTTCACCTTAGAAATATATCGAATACTTTGTGGCTAACACAGCAATGGAAAGGCACCCGATTGCTTACAATTCCACAGAAATCGTTGACAGAGATCGTTGACAGAAATTGCCACCACGGTTTTGCCGCACTCTTTATCAGCGCCCGAATACTAAGAAAGCGATCAAATGACCATTATCCTTTGTAAAGACTGAATTCATTTCCGGTGAACGTGAAAATAATCGTGTCCGCGAGATGAAAAAATTTTACAAATATCGCAAATTTTTTATGCTCGTAAACGTTCTTAAAAGCAAGAAGTCAAGCTTTCCTGTCACGAATGTGATAATGACATTACAGTCATCGTGACACCGTAAAGCTTATTAGAAGGCAAGCAAGGACTTGACCTATGGACGCACGAGAAACTTGTCATCTTACTTTTCCGCCCTGTTTTGTTACAGGCAACGATTTCGTTACAATTTTGATCTTTGCACAGGATGTATGCATAGTTGAAGCAAACCATGCTACTGAAATTTAACCCAACTAATTACCACTGTATTTACGAGGAGAATTAATCAGATCTGTTTCACAAATTCCATAAATAAATCCTATCATAATAAAAATTATGTTACGTGTAATAACAATCCAATAATAATTAACTTACCGGACTTAAACGTATTTTGAATCGCGAAGTTTGTCATTCTCCATTCAGTTTCCATGCTGAGAAATTAAACTTTTCCAAATTCTAAGAAGAAATTACACTGTTACGAATGTAGTTTTTGCTTCCATCTCGCATACGATGTCTCAACTCGGAATTCACTTATTTCGCGCCATAATGTAATTTTGGCGGGGAATAGACAAATAACTGCTGTTTGTGTCTGTGTTGTGTAAAAAATTCATTCTCAACAGATTAAGCCTTGTGAAGATTATATGAAATAATTCATATTTGTACTGCGGTTGTAGATGAAAGTGAAATGTGATCATCGCAGTAAATTTTCCAATTTAAGCAATTGGAGAGAAGAAGCCTGAAAAAAATCAGGGCTTCAACGGGATTCGAACCCGTGACCTCCGCGATACCGGTGCGATGCTCTACCAACTGAGCTATGAAGCCACACATTGGGAGCGAGGTCAATTTATTGAGTTCATATCTTCCCGTACAGTGAAATGGTGTGAAGATTATATGAAATAATTCATATTTGTACTGCGGTTGTAGATGAAAGTGAAATGTGATCATCGCAGTAAATTTTCCAAAATTTTTCTCTCCAATTGCTTAAATTGGAAAATTTACTGCGATGATCACATTTCACTTTCATCTACAACCGCAGTACAAATATGAATTATTTCATATAATCTTCACACCATTTCACTGTACGGGAAGATATGAACTCAATAAATTGACCTCGCTCCCAATGTGTGGCTTCATAGCTCAGTTGGTAGAGCATCGCACCGGTATCGCGGAGGTCACGGGTTCGAATCCCGTTGAAGCCCTGATTTTTTTCAGGCTTCTTCTCTCCAATTGCTTAAATTGGAAAATTTACTGCGATGATCACATTTCACTTTCATCTACAACCGCAGTACAAATATGAATTATTTCATATAATCTTCACACCATTTCACTGTACGGGAAGATATGAACTCAATAAATTGACCTCGCTCCCAATGTGTGGCTTCATAGCTCAGTTGGTAGAGCATCGCACCGGTATCGCGGAGGTCACGGGTTCGAATCCCGTTGAAGCCCTGATTTTTTTCAGGCTTCTTCTCTCCAATTGCTTAAATTGGAAAATTTACTGCGATGATCACATTTCACTTTCATCTACAACCGCAGTACAAATATGAATTATTTCATATAATCTTCACACCATTTCACTGTACGGGAAGATATGAACTCAATAAATTGACCTCGCTCCCAATGTGTGGCTTCATAGCTCAGTTGGTAGAGCATCGCACCGGTATCGCGGAGGTCACGGGTTCGAATCCCGTTGAAGCCCTGATTTTTTTTCAGGCTTCTTCTCTCCAATTGCTTAAATTGGAAAATTTACTGCGATGATCACATTTCACTTTCAGATTAAGCCTTGTTTTGAAATACTTAGAACGCATTCAACGTTCAAGCAAGCCATCTGATGAAATTGATTTGACAGAAGAGAACATGGCTCGTTAGACAACGCACTAGAGTACGATCTTGGAGGAGTTATCGATCGAACGCGATTTATTTTACGGGAAGTCCTATTGTGACAACAGCTGTGTTGTTTTCCTTAACCGCTCGCTGATTGGCCAAACCAGTAACTAATTTTGTGGCTATGCGAGCCACCAACTACCACGTAGAATATTAATCAGCCAAACACCATGAAGTTTATTTCAACATAATATTACAGGAGCCTATTACGGCACCTTTTGTCATGCAACAGGATATCTGTAGTAAATCGAACCCACCCTACCTTCTTGAGTTTTTAATTTTAGATTACTGCAAATGAAAGCGTATTCCTTTGCCGAGTAGTTAGCTTTTTAAAAACTAAGGAGAAAATGAGAACTACTCTATGGAGAATTCGTTGTAATATAATTGAAGTTGTTGCCAATGTTGAGCTGGCAACTTTCTGTTGATTCGCATTTCGATCATCCTTGAAAATGTCACCTACTTCTTAGCCTCTAAACAAAACGACACTCAGTTGTCCTCTTTCTTTTTCGCAATGCTTTTCGTACCTTTCGTGCCTGCATGTAGTCGCTGGTACAATGCGCACTAGGCTCAGCGAAATGTCAACATTTTCAAGA